ATCTATATATACTATCGGATGTAAATGCTGAAAGATCTTTTCGAATGTAAAAAACTTTTTATTGTCCATCAGCAACCATTGATATGGGTGGTCATACAAGAAAATGATGATTGGTAGATGAAATGAATGAAATGTAACATAAGAATGTTTGGAAATGTATTGCTAAATGGGGAGAATAAAAAGGTGAACAGAAAAGCAGGTGTTCTTATGGTTTTCTTCCAAGATGTATAGTTGGGAATAATGAAGAAATAGGCATATAATGAATGATGAAAATGCCAGAGAAAAAAGAAAGAGAAAGAGAGAAGCAAAGAAAGAAGGAAAGTTTGAAAGAGGAGGAAAAAGAAAGAAGAAATGCGATAGTATAGGAAAAAGAAAGGAAGAACAAGAAGAAAAGGGTGGAAGAAAAATGAAATAAAGCAAAAAAAAAAAAACTGAAAGTAAAAAGAAAACAGAGAAACCCACAGAAATAATGAGGCAATGAAAAAAAATGAAAAATGAAGAAAGAAAGAAGGAAAGAAAGAAAAGAAAAGAAAAAGAAAGACAGAATAAAAAAACAAAAAAAGAAAGAAAGAAGGAAAGAAAAGAAAGAAAGAAGGAAAGAAAACAAAAAAGAAAGAAAAAATAAATAATAGGAAGGAAAAAAAAAGATGAGTGGAAAAGAAGTAAAAAACAAAAGGTAAGAAGAAAGAATGAGAAAAGCACAAAAAGAATGAGGCAATAAAAAAGGAAAAATGAAGAAAAAATAAAGAATGAAAGAAAGAAAGAAAGAAAGAAAGAAAGGAAAAAGAAGGAAAGAAAGCCTGAAAGAAAGAAAAAATTGAGAAAGAAGGAAAGAAGGAAAATAAAGATGCAGGGAAAAGAAAGCGAGTAGTAAAAAATGTGAGAATGAGGAAAGAAAGATGAGAAGAAGAAAAAAAATGAAACCTAACAAAGCAAACAGTAAAGAAAAAAGTGCAAAGAAATGGAAGCAAAAGGAGAAGTGAAAAAGGAGAATGGAAAAAAGAAAGAGAGGAAAATGGATGAAATGAAAGAGAGAACAAATAAGAAAGAAAAGAAAGAATATAATGAAAGGATTTCCATGGGTAGAGGAACTTAGTAATTACAATCAGATCAACAAAATGCTCACCATTCATGAGTATAAAATATGTAATGAGACAAAGTGAGGCACAAGGCCATGTGGATAGAACATTTGCTTTCTGACCATAAGATTTGAGTTTAAAGCATGGTCAATTTGTCACTTTATGAACTGGGGGAGCAATCACAGAATGCAGCACAGGTGAAATGTGCGTGAAACCCATGGCTTGATCCAAACCTTGTGAGGTAAATTCCGTTGATGGCAGCCATTGGTAATTGTGTTAGCACAAATTCACAAGTCACCGTGAATGATAGATTGAGCTTATAGGCATTTAACAAACTGATGATTATAATAGATTATGTGCTCTGTCCCAGAAACTGTAACTAAGGTCCGCTCAGCATAGTTGCAGTATAAACCACAAGTGGGCTCTGTGGGTGTTGAACAAACACATATTTGCCTGAGTGGGTGTCTGCAACAGGGATTGGCTAGCCCCACGAGCAGACAGGAATGCTCAAACTGACTCCAATAATTACAATAACGAACCAAATCCATTTTTTACAAACATTTTGCTCAATGATAACTTTAAAATAATTCAACAGACAATGTCATTTTATTTATAGTATTTGGATTTTTAAGGATTAATTTATTTGGTTTCTATCCTTCAGTAATGTGTGTCTGAAGAATGGCATGATTATTGTAATTGATACCACTTCTCAGCCTTTTGACTAAGATCAAAGTGTAGTATCTGTCAGTATCAGCTTAATCTGATTTCTTTCTCTCCATTTCTCTTTTTCTTTCTTTCTTTCATTTTTTTACTGAAATAAGTAGTATTTTTACACCTCTGTTCATGCAATGAAAATAGAATAGTGCATTATTTATGAGGAATTAGCAGGGTGTAACGGTTGTGCTAACTAGCAAATGGAGGGTCAAGTTCCTGATCAAACCAAACTCATAAATAATTATATTGGTCATACTACTACATGCCTATTAATACGTACATATTACACCTACCTGACCATAGCTCAATTAGGACTCATTTTAATAAACATGAAAACCTACCAAACTCCATCTAAAAGATACTAGTAGAAAATACAAGTATAATAGCCTCATCCACATGTAAAAAGAAATTAAAAATTATGGAAGCCCTAATAATAAAAAAGGAAAAGCTAATGCTCAAGAACATTAACTATGAACATGGCCACAATGTGCTGACCATGTTCAAAAAATGAAAGATTCCTATAACTTCAGACACATATATAAAGAAACACACATTCAGTTAAAAATAAAAAATAAAAAACAACCTTGATAATGGCTAAAAGTATAGCTGAAAGTGCTCTGATATGCAGAACTTTTCAATAGTTTTTACACACTTTGTGTCTAGAAAAGAAAACACTTGTACAAACACAAGTAAAATTAAATAAAAAGCTCAATTGCAGTACCTTGTCAGTCGCTTTTAATGAAACATATATATATATATATATATATATATATATATATATGTTACGCTCTCGTTATTCAATCGAGCACTATAGAGAAAAGGGTAATTTCATTAATGTTTGGAGCCCTCTGGCTGCTGGCGTTTGTGCACACTCATATATAATACGTAAATATTTTCCTTCTGCCATGCACCGATAAACAAACACAAGAAAATTAAATAAAATGTTTAATCACATTACTTTATCCATTGTCGTTTAACAAAACTTATATGAAAGAGAGATTGCTACCCAAATACATACATGTGTATATATATATATATATATATATATATATATATATATAAAAAAATAGTTTTAAAGTATGCTATATTTATGGGATAAAGTGCTCAATATCAGAGATACTGTATGTAAATACAAATATAAAAGTGAACATTGAAGTCAACACTCAGAGGCGATTACATCCAACATGAAACAGCCTGTTGCCTCTGAGTGCTGACTTCAATGTTCACTTTTATATTTGTATTTATATATATATATGTGTGTGTGTGTGTGTGTGTGTGTGTGTGTGTGTGTGTGTAGGCTTTTTTCTTGTTTTTAATCATTTTATTAAGGAAGGCAAAACAGCTACTAAGATGCAAGGTGTTATTGAGTGTGAGAGAATATCAGAAAAACAACTATTGCGTGAAAACAATAAAGGAACTGGAATCAAGAAAACAGAAGATTGGGTTGAGAAGAAATAATTGGCTCATTGTTATTCACTGGGAAAAATGTGGATGGATAAAAAGTGTTTGGATCAATCTTCAATTGCATAACAAAGTCAACTAATGAAAATGCAAACCTTGTTTTAAAAATTGCAATGTAAATTTATCTAGATTTTTACCAACATACACAAAAATACTGAGATAATATTTCAGAAGACATTATGGAATGGTCCAAGTTGGAACTTCATGAGGATATTAATAAGATAGGAGTTTGGGTGGAATTATTTCAGAAAAGCAATTTGCATGAATGGTGGGGGACATCTGTCCAAACTCAAGAGACATTCAGAAAATATTCAGTCATTTTTTGATATTATTAGATCACATAAATTTACACATTTAAAGTAAAGGAATATCTAAATTTGTTGATCTATCAATCTATCTGATTGCATATCTATCTATTCTTATCTGTCTTAATCTATCTATCTATCTATCTATCTATCTATCTATCTATCTATCTTAATCTGTTCATATATGATTCTGTCTATCTATTACAGTCTGTTCACATCTATTTCAGTTCATCTATTTATCTATCTGTCTGTTACAGAAAGATAGATAGATAAATCTATCTATCTGTTCATATAAAATTCTATCTATTATGATATGTTTACATCTATCTGTTCATATAAAATTCTCTCTATCTATTCCTATCTATCATAATCTGTTCATATATAATCCTATCTATCTATTTTTATCTGTTGATGTATAATTCTATCTATCTAATTATCATCTTTTCCACAAAAGTGACATTGTGATCCTATTGCTACTTCCATGGCACATGTTCAGACATAGCCCATTCTTTAGTGCCATCATCTTCAACCATTATAGCCAAATCCTACCCCAATATGTTCACAGAGTTGAATCACTCTCATTCCCTTCATATTCAATTGGGTAAGAATGGCATTCCACTCCAAAAGTGTCTTCCCAAGAACTGTTACTTTTTTGAACACAGTCCCATGTAGATACCTTTCTGAAAACTACAACATTAATCTTAACATGTCTAGAATCAATCGTTATCTATCTGCTGTAATATCATAATCTTCACTTCCTGCTTCCTTCCCTTATGATCATATCACGCATCTCATTCAGTAACTCTCTACCTTGAGTGGCTCTTGGGTCTTGTCATGTGTAAACTTTAGTAAGGATATCTACTTTGAACTTTTAAAACCTGGCATTATCCTGAACTCAAACAGTAAAACATGGTGCCCCTGTTGCAACACCCTTAGCCACCCTGTATTGGTTGCAGCAGGTTAACAGATCAGGATGCAAATTGATGGTTTGATATAAACAGATCGAAAACAGATCAAAAGATGTAATGCCGACATGCAGATAAGTATTATTTTCCAGACATCTGATCATATCTCGGATTTGACATTTGAAGCAATTGAACTAAACAACTGAACTGATCGGTGATATGCTGACAGATGCTGAGTGTTTCATGAACTATCTATCAGCTGATTAATCAATAAATTGATTTACTGATAGGTAGGCAGACAGGTATAAACAGCTTTAAATTGAGGCTTTAATGGATTGATCAAGAGAACAATGTATTGATTGAATTGTATCAATGCAAAGATACAAAGAAAAGAACATGGAAATAGAAAGAGAGAAAAGGTAAAAAGAAAAACGGTGAAAGATTGTGGGTAAAAAGGAAGAAAATGTGTTAAAAAGGAAGGTAATAAGATAAAAAATAAAAAGAATAATAATAGAGAGGAAAGAGTATCAATATATTTATAAAAGAGAGAGAAAAATGGAAAATGGGAGAAAGAAGGAGAAAGACCGTAAAAACAGGTAAAAAGTGAAAGAGAGAAAGAAAAAATAGGAGTACAAATGAAAGTGAAAGTGATCTATAAAAGAGAAAATAAAACTGGAAGACAAAGAAAAAGTGAAAGTTAAAATGAGAAGTGAAATAGATAAGAAGAGATAAAGAGAAAATAATAATGTGAGAAAAAGAAAGATGGTAAAGTAAAGGTGATAGAGAATGAAAGAGATAAAATGTTATTGAAGACAAAGAGGGAGAGTGAATGTGTCAGAAAGAGAAAGTGAATGTAAGAGAAAGAGTGGAAAAGAGAGGAAGTTGAAATTGTAGTAACAGAGAAAGGGTAAATAAAAATGTTTGAGAGTGAGAAAGAAAAGTAAGATGTTAAAAATGTTAGTAAAAGTGTGAATGAAAGTGAAAGTGATAGAAAAGGAAGCAGAGAAAATTTTATGAAAGACAAAGTGGGTGGGTGAATAAATGACAAAGTAAAAGTGAGAAAGAGCCAGAAAGTAACAAAGCAACAGAGTAAAAAAGGAGAACGTAAAACCAAAAAGATGTGAAACAAAAAAGATGTGAAACAGTGGTGAAAGGAAAGTGGGAAATGTGAAAGAGAAGAAGAAAGATGACAACAATGATGATGAAAGTGAAAGTGAAAGAGAAATGGGGAATAAGATTAAAATGTTAGCCAGAAAGAGGATAAATGGAAATCAGTGAGAGAGAAATTGTAAGGGATTAAAAGAGCATGTAAAAGATTACAGAGAGAGAGCAGGTGAGTGAGCAAGAGAATGCAAATTATGCAATAATTTCTTTTTAGTATCTGTCTATATTTCTGAGATGAGGTATTATGTACACTATTTACATTATTCAAACTATTGTCCTCATCTTTGTTGCCATATTTATTACAATGTCTTGGCCATTGTATGCTCTGGCCTTCTCAGATGGTTGGAATGTCTAACTGAACCCTTTATTTTGCTCACTGGGGTAGACTGTTCTAGGTCCACATGCCATGTTTAATGGATGTCAGTTATCAGTTATCTTCTGTTAATTCCCCTCTCCAAGTTCTCCACTGCCTTAACCGGGTATTGAACTCACACTGTTTGGGTCCTGTCACTGGATCTAACCAATGTCTTATCCACTGTGCCATGTGTTTTTAGCTTAATTGAATATATACTATGTCAAAATTGTGTTTCATTATTCAAAATATTTTATTTAAAATATATTTCTACTTTTTACACAACTTCTTTAGCTCCCTTATTTTTTGGTTACTAAATCAAACTGAAGGATTTCGGTTGTGATGGGGCATGAATTTTATGATAAGTCGGCCATTGTTGGGTTATTCAAAGTCATTTTTTTTACTTAAGACTATACATAGGACAGTTTTATACTTGAGTCTATAGGTAAATATTGATCAGGTTTATTATAGTGGTGTATGTAGTTAAAGATTGGTTGGGTTTATAATTAAGTCTATAAGTAAAAAGTAGTTATTTTTATAACTGTGTCTAAAGGCAAATATTTGTTGGATTTATAACTTGGGGAAAATTGTGGAAATGGCATACCTCGGAAACGCCCACGAATCTGTGCGACGTGCAAACTCCGGTTGCTCAACGGTAAAAAACCAAAATGGTGGCACCCATGTTTTATGCCAGGTGGTCTCCGACAGTTAACGCGAAATCTCGTTGTCTCGTCATTCACATGCAAATCGTGGTCAGTCCTTGGCTGTATAAAGCTGGCATGTTTTTGTTTCTGAGTGCTGGGTTTTTTGCTCGTGAGAAGGTTGGACGTGTGACACTGTTTTGTCGGTTACCCTCCTCACGTTTTTTTTTTTTTATCTGCTACTATCAGTTGAGTCGTTGCTTTACTACCACAGTCAATAAACAAAATTTAGTCAGGGTTATATATTGGTCCACACAAACATACATGTCTGGCAAGGATCCTGATATGAAAACATTTCATCAGGAATATGACAAGGAGGAAATTGAAACCCTAGTCTATTTAATACAAGCACAGATGTGAAGAGATGAGCACTCATCATTTAAGCATTCTACATCACATCCCAAACAAATGTGCTAATAGCAAACAGCGTTCATCCAAAATCCAATGTACTAATGATGAGGAAGGCTATGATGATATTCTGTTATTATTTACATTTTTTACATATTTTTCCAATGAAACATGACCAAATACACATGTTAGTACTTTATATGTTCATTCCATGAAGCCGTTCCTTGCAGATTGACCACAGATTCTCAAATGGATTTAAATCAGGAGAGTTTCCAAACCAGTCTATAGTACTTTGATTTGCTCACTGGTAAGGCATACCATTTTTCCTTTTGGGCATGTAGGGTTATACATTTTGGTAGGATATTCACCCACTTATGTCCCACTGACAAAGCAGGTACAACCTATCAAAGCATGAAATTTTAATTTGTACACCATCTAGTGAAACCACATTACTTATAAACGAGATAAAATCCTTGTGGTGAAAAATAAGAAAGATTGAAACGAGGGAAAACTATTAATAATAGAGATTTAATAACCACTATATATAATACACTAGCAGGCTTCACCTGCTCGCTATAGCTATACAAAGTAAAATATATTCACTACATATATCTTTTGAAACATAAATTTTAAATGAACATTTCATTCAGAAATTGGCTTGTTATATTTAAGGAAAGTTTTATAAATAGATGCCAACTTGTTAAAGGCCAAGTAAAATGCAAATTTCAAACATTTTTTTCAGCACTATGTAAGACGATATTCCAAATCAGAACTATTTTTGATATAAAAATCAAAACAGTCCTTGGATAAAAGAACAGTATTGAAGGACAGTTAACTAATTAAATAAACATTTTTAAAATCAGTATGCAAATTAGTTAAACCTGAAGTGTGAGATTAGCAAGGAAGTAGATAATATATAATACGGATATTAACCTTTTAACATGTAAAGTGTACCGTATGTGTGTACCTTACTCTTTTTGAGTAATTTCCCATCTATTTATCATCTCTCAGTTGCGTCTCTATCCTTGGACAGAGTGCACTCAGGGGCGACTTCATCAAAGGACAGAGTCACAACCGAGAAAATTATACTGAAGAGATGCCCAGCTCTGGGGAACAGATGCCCGAGGCTGCGCCCTCACATTGCACCAGAGGGAGAGATCGGTGCTTGCACCGAGGCCAGCGCAACTGATGGTTGCGTGGCTGAGGGGAATTTTTGTGACCGTCCCAGGTGTATGTGCTCAGGTCCCCACCTAAAAATAGACCTTGTGTCACATCTTGTCCTAGTGCGGGGACAGAGTAAATACCACATGTAAATTGCTATAAAGTAGAGCTGGGAGTTCTTACACTCAGAATTTCACTTTTGTTCATATAGATTCCATAATATAGGCTTTACTTACTTAGTTATTATGTTTCTCTAACTCTTCAAATGTTGAATGCATGACTAATTCTAATTTCTATTTTCCCATGTTTATACTATATTAATTTTATCTTATAAAGTGTCCCGTTCTGTCACCCATGAAATAAAAATAATTTGTATAGAAAATAAGGATCTATGTACATAAAATCCTTTTTAAATTAAGTGGCAACAGAAGAATTATTCTTGAACTTTTAAAAGGTAAGCTTAAACATTACTTCAATACTTAAATGCAGCAATCAGTTTTGAGTTCTTCTGTAGTATATTGATGCCTATTGCATCTACTCCTCCCTAGCTATTTTGATGATGGCCAAAGCAAGAGTTCTCTAGAGGAGCTACCTTAAATGCCACCCAATAGGGCATCTTTTAAGCTAGCTGCAATTTTGGATACAAAAGGAGAATAAAAGTTACTCCCCTTGAACCATGAAAACAACAATAATGGCTAGTATAATATATTAACATATATTTTTAGCCTCTGGCAACCCTGAATCTGAGCTCAACGAAAATCATTCCCTGCACGTAACTTTTCTAGGGATTTTGAAACATTGAAATCAGACCAGTGGGAGTAGAGGAGTTGCTTGGACATAAACATGCACAAACACACATATAATGTACTTTATATATAAGATGTAATGAACATAATAATTATGTAATAACAACTACATGTAATATATAAAATAACCACTATATATAAAATATATATTGCCAATTATATGTCATATATCTAAAATAACAAATACAAGTAGTAATCATTATATGAAATATATAATTAACACTATATGTAATAGCCACTGTATTTATATACTGTATACAATACAGAATGCGATGAGTAAAATGTTACCATTTTTCATTTTTAATTTCATGCATGCACATTGTATGTTTTTCATTTTGTCAACTGCACAGGGTAGTAAGGTCATTTGGGCAGCATCTGTGAGAAAAAGAGCACCATGATGCAATTCACTCTGCCAGAAATTTGGAAATGGCATGCTTGAGTAATTGGTGTCAATCTGAAGACAGTGCAGAGGATTTGGAAAGAGTTAGATGAGTCTAATGGTGATTATGAAGGTGTTTGGAGTGATCACTAGTGATGGCAATGTTATTGCCTCTATTTATCTTCCACAGGGCCTCAGACTCTACACCAAGTGCCTTGAGGAGGTAGTGCTGCTTTGGGTCAAGAGTATGGCTGCTGGAAGACCCTGTGTCTGGCAACAGGACTCTACACCATGTTACACAAGCAGAAAAACCCAGTCATGGCTGTCAGACAATTTCTGCAATCATATCACCCTTTACATCTGGCCACTTAATTCTGCAGGCTGCAACACCCTTTATCATTATGTGTGGGATGCAGTTGAGTAAGAAACCAACAAAACTCCTTGTAACATGAAAGATGAACTGAAGATAAGTATAATGGCAGCATTCATCAACTTCAACAAGGAGAGTGCCAAGAAGATTTGCAGGATATTCCCCAGTCATCTGGAGGTTATGGTTGAAGCCATTGGTGATTTTATTGAATAAATTTACTCTTTAGTATTTCAAGGTATTTTTGTGTAATGTTGGTAAATGTGATGTCCGTGTTATTTTCATTTATGTGTAATTTAGATGACAATTTATCCATTGCCCTTGTGTATCCCTTATATGGATATATACTACATTTTAGGATAAACTTCAGTCAAAGTAACTATGAATCTACACCTCCCAGTAGGTTCTACAGAAGGATACTGAGAATACCATGAATAGAACATGTGAACAATATTGAAGTTTTAGATGAAATGGAAACAAAAAAGAACACTTGTACTTGCGGTCAGAAAAGAGAAAGATAAAATTTCTTGGCACAAAATGCAGAAAGAGGACTTAGACAATCTCATACTTACAGGACATACTGCAGGCAAGACAGAAAGAATGCAATGCATAACTTACTTAACAAGTGTATGTAAATAGTTTCTTTTCTCACATCTCTCACCTGTGGAACTCTCTTCCAATTTGCTTCCCTGCCAACTACAATCTTCAAAACATTAAATGCAATGCCAATCACCATCTTTTCTCTTTGTCAACCCTGTTCCTTTCTTAACTCCTCCTCACTAAATTTTTCTCATTCTCTTTCACTCCCTGTAACCTGCTGCATCCTAGTGGTATTATAGTCTTACCATTCAACCAAAATATGATCAAACATATGACAAATTGTAGATAATGCTGTAATAATAGTCTTTGAAAGCAAAGAGTCAAAATACCTGAACGTATTATTAAAGAAAAGAAACAACACTTATTATAAAATCTAAAAAAATAATGCAAATAAAATAATTAATGCCTCTTCTGATACAATTAAGCTTTGTGAAATGTACATAAAACACCAATTATATGATATATGTATATTGCAATTTGAAAGGAATGACAACCTATCCCCCACTTCTATTCTAAAAGTTTCTTTTCTCACACTTCTCCAATTCTAATTTCTTGCTTCCTTGATAAATACAACCTTCAAAGATTTTAAATGAAATGTCAATCATCATCATCTGTCTTCTTGAAACCTGTTCCTTTATTGTTCTTCCCTCAATCCTTGCCACTAAAGTTTAATTCCCTTTCACTACCTGTAACCCCCCCCGCTGTGTCCTAGTGATGTTATTTCTTGATTGGAGAGAAATGACTAAAGAAAATCAGGGATTAAGAGACAAAATAAGTGTTACAAAGTGTAGGAAGTTGTGGGAAGATGAGGAGGAGGAAGAAGACGAATAATAAGAGAATAGGAGGAGGAAGAAGAATGAGGAGGAGGTGGAAGCAGAGGAGGAGAAGAAGAAGAAGAAGGAGGAAGAGGAGGGAAGAGGAAGAGAAAGAAGAAGAAGAAAAGAAGAAGAAGAAGAAGAAGAAGAAGAAGATGAGGAGGAAGAAGACAAATAATAAGAGAATGAGGAGGAGGAGGCAAAGAAGAAGAAGAAGAGAAGGAGGAGAAAAGAAAAGAAGAAGAAGAAGAAGAGAGGAGGAGGAAGACGAGGAGGAGGAAGAAGACAAAATAATGAGGAGGAGGAGGCAAAGAAGAGGAGGAGGAGGTGGAAGCAGAGGAGGAGAAGAAGAAGAAGAAGCGGAGGAAGAGGAGGCAGAGGAGGAGAAGAGAAAGAAGAAGAAGAAAAAGAAGAAGAAGAAGAAGAAGAAGAAGAAGATGAGGAGGAAGAAGACAAATAATAAGAGAATGAGGAGGAGGAGGCAAAGAAGAGGAGGAGGAGGTGGAAGCAGAGGGAGAGAAGAAGAAGAAGAAGAAGGGAAGAGGAGGCAGAGGAGGAGAAGAAAGAAGAAAAGAAGAAGAAGAAGAAGAAGAAGAAGAAGATGAGGAGGAAGAAGACAAATAATAAGAGAATGAGGAGGAGGAGGCAAAGAAGAAGAAGAAGAGGCGGAGGAGGAGGAGAAGAGAAAGAAGAAGAAGAAGAAGAAGAAGACGAGGAGGAGGAAGACGAGGAGGAGGAAGAAGACGAATAATAAGAGAATGGGGAGGAGGAGGCAAAGAAGAAGAAGAAGAGGAGGAGGAGGAGGTGGAAGCAGAGGAGGAGAAGAAGAAGCAGAGGAAGAGGAGGTGGAGGAGGAGAAGAGGAAGAAGAAGAAGAGGAGGAGGAGGAGAAGTGGAAGATGAAGAAGAAGAACAGGAGGCTCAGAAGAAGAAGAAGAAGAAAAGGAGGAGGAAGAAGAAGAATGAGGAGGAGGAGGAGCAGAAGAAGAAGAAGAAGAAACAATCAAATAACTGTTCTGAGAATTTTTTCACATGGTACCCTGATAATATAGTATGTCATGGGATATTTTCATTTTCAAATAATGAAAGGGAGACATATCAGAATTTTGCAACAATAGTCATTATTGTACTTCCTACTCGGTAGCTAATACCCATAACCCATTATAGTCATAAGGGCATTACAAGTACTGAAACTGCAGCAGCAGTGATGCATCTTGGGCAATATAGCCTGATGGAGTTTTTCCTTCTCCTTGACAGTTTGTCATCCAAGGCAGTAAGACTCAATCTCTCCTGCTATTTACCCATAGCTGAGGGGAGAAGAGATAGATTCATAACTTTCCAAAGTGTATTAGCATACAAGTGAGCATAAGAAGTCTCAATTCCTCTCTGCACTACTAGTCATTACTAGTCATTACTAGTCACTACTAGCTTACTAGTCATTACTAGGTCATTACTAGTCAGAAGATTACTAGTCACTACTAGTCACTACTAGTCATTACTAGTCATTACTAGTCACTACTAGTCATTAAGTCATTACTAGTCACTTAGCATACTAGTCATTACTAGTCACTAGTCATTACTAGTCACTCAGTCACTAGTCATTACTAGTCATTACTAGTCATTCATTACTAGTCATTACTAGTCACTACTAGTCATTACTAGTCATTACTAGTCACTACTAGTCACTACTAGTCATTACTAGTCACTACTAGTCATTACTAGTCATTACTAGTCACTACTAGTCATTACTAGTCACTACTAGTCATTACTAGTCATTACTACACTGTACCTGCAAATAACACAGTAAAAAATAAAATTTGAAAATGAAAATCAGAGTTTAAAATGATTAAGAATAAGCACTGTAGCATCTGTATATAAAATTCTGTGACTTCTGTTTGTCTGTCCATCACACTCTTTTGAATTTGGCCTCCCCCAAAAAATATTTGCACATTGCCAGTTATATGTTGCATGCTCAAGAGTAAGAAATCTTAAGAATGTATTCTTCACTGCTAAAAAGGAAAAAATAAATTTTAAACAATAGTTTATTATGAAGTTAGAATGAAATAAGATTAAAGAAGTTATTAATTGTGAAGTATAGTTTTATCAAAGTATTTTTCCAACCAAATACCTTATTCAAATTTCATTGATTGATTTGTGAAACTGAACAAAACGTAGAGTTTGTAAATCTCGACAAAAAATTTTAGCAGTAACTTCCAAAATACTGAATACTGTGAGGATTTCAACATGTGTCAGTGTGTTGCAAAAAAAAAAAAAAGTTTCATAAAACTGTAAAATGTTTCTAAAACAAAAGTTCCTGATGTATGGAAAAGTAGCACAAATATTGTTAAATTCCTTGTCAAAGCCAAATGCAATATTAGGAAAGTATGCACTCTATTTGATGGTGTATAAGACTTCCACCATTAAAATTTAATCTGACATTTAACCTAAATCTTGCAAGTGGTTTAACAGAGGATTGAAAATGTGGTATTGAAATCTGAATGTGCACTGGAATAGCAAAAGTTCCATTCCAAAAGCTAAGCAAATTATTAGTAAACAGGAAAATTCTGTTAGAAACAAAGAAAAGAGTGCTGAACACTTATGCAATATCAATTATCTTGGAGGTGAGCTAATACTGGATAATCTCATTACAAATGAAGAGAAAACTGAAGTTAACAGAAATATATATCTACAGAAGGATACTGAGAATACCAAGGATTGAGCATGTATCCTTAGACATACTTTATTTCTAATTTTCATCAAGGACCTTCCTTCCTTTCAGTTGATACCTATACTGATAACATGTGTGTTTACTCCTGTCTCAAAAACAAGTTTGATGGCAGGTGTTCCAAAAATTGACCTACAGTTGGATGTTAACTGAGACAAGGAATGGCTTGTTAATTTTAATGCCTCCAACATGATGCTTCTCTCTATTAATCACCTGAAAAACCTCTCCATGCTTCCCATTACCATGGTTGATGCTAATCTCTAAGAGTGACTTGTGGCATCTTTTCGGTCTAAAATTCTTGCCTGATATGAAGTGGAAAGACAATATTGAAACCATTACTAGGTCTTCTACTAAGAAAGTCAGTTCATTGTCTTGCTAGACAATTTTTCTCTCCAGAATCTATCTTGCATGTTCATAAATCTACCATTCGTCCATGTTTTGAATATTGCTTCCACATTTAGTCTGGTGCTCCTGCTGTATATTTAGAGATTCTTGATAAAATCCAAAGAAAAATCAGCAATATTACTTGACCTGACCTGGCATCTTGGCTTCAATCACTTTCCCATTGCCTTAATGTAGCTTTTTCTATAAATACTTCCATGGTAATTGTTGGATGAATTCTTTGTTATTGTACACCCTTGTGCAATTTAATTGTAAAAGAACGAAAAATTCCATTATTATTTACTTTTCTTTGTATTTTTCCAATGAAACATGACCCAGTGCACATTTTAGTACTTTGTATGTCCTATCCATGAAGTCGTTCCTTGCAGATTGACCACAGATTCTCAATTGGATTTAAATCAGGAGAGTTTCCAAGCCAGTCTATAGTACTTTGATTTGCTCACTGGTAAGGCTTACCATTATGTTCATGCTGCGTTAAATTTTCTCATGCTTCTTTGGGGTAATGTCCATCATAGACAATGTCTGTAGGACAACTAATCAACAGCCGAGACAATTGTGTCCAGGTATGATAAAAATTTGATGCAATTACAAATAATGCAATATTTTTCAATGTCAAACAAATTTCATCATACAAACTGAAAATAGATTCATATTACTGCACACCACTGCAAATGACCTAATCTGAGGAAAAAATAGAAATCGATTACACCCTGTCACTCCAGTGGGTCTTAAACTGACCGTATGGTGAAAGAAAGGAAACTAAAGCAGTTGTTTCAATTAATTTGCATAAGGGTATATCTAGACTTTATGAATTTAAGTGCAGTACTAAATTAGCAGAAAGATCTCATCAACTGGCAGTTGAATTAGCTAAATATATATATATTCTAACAGTTTCTTTTCTTACACATCTTGTTTGTGGGACTCTCTTCCAGCTCTACATTTTTCAGCCAACTTTGATCTTCAAAAATTTAAATGCAATGTTAATCACTATCTACTGTATTGATTACTCATCTATTCTTCTCACTCCCCAATATTTCTCATTTTTTTTGTGTTCTTCCACACTCAGTAAACTCTTGTGTCTTAGTGGCTTTACTGCCTTATCTGGGGTGATAGGATTAAAAAAATATGTAAGAAATAAGGAAGTCTTAATGAAAATAATAACAAAAAGGACACTTATACCCAGAATAAAAAAAAAAAAAAATATCTGCTGGAATTTATTTGATATTTAATGAAGAAAAGAAGCTTGGAGAATTTGATACCAAGATGGACAGGCAGCAAGCTTCCTAATTGACCAGTTGTTTGAATGGATGACAGAATAATAATTGGTTGAGTTTGCTAAAATACAAATGTTACTAAGAGCTACAAGACATAGGAAGTTGTGGAGAGCCATAATTGCCAATAGTAAAAGAGAACATATATAAGACCCAGCAGATGTTTTTAAGCCATTTTTGGGAAAAAGGGGCGGATTTTGTGCGATGTCAAATATGGTAGTAATTTGTTTAGCTCCTGTTGTAAAACGTTTTTCTTGATGAGTGCATAATGATGCACACGTTTGTCAACTGATAAATAGGGGTCATATATTTTGATACTGACCCTCACTCTACACTTTTTTTTTATGCTTTCTTTCCTGTCGATGTAGAGCATGCAACCTCATAAAATCTCAGTCACCAGTGTAAACAGTAGTTGAATGAATATGTTGGCTAACGGAAAAGAAATAGATGTTAAAATGCTGCTCAGCATAATGAGTCCCCGCCTATTTTTTTTATTTTTTTTATTTATTTATTATTTTTAGCATTACTCATTTGCATAAACTGTTTATCATCTTCCTCTCTTTTTTTCTCTCCTATTCTTTCCTAACCTATCTCTCTCAGTCTCTTTCCTCTCACACTTATTCCCATAATTTGTCTTCATCTTTGTCTGATTTTTCTCTTTCTTCTTTCTTTATCCTCTTTTTCTTACCTCATCCTTTCATTTTTCCCTCACTCCTTGTTATTCTCATTCTGTTTCTCTCTCTCTCTCATGATTTCATTTTCTTCTTTTCTTACTCTCTCTGATTTCCTTTTTCTCTCCCTTGTTATTTCATTCTTCTTCTTTCTTTGATTTCCTTTTCTCCCTTTTAATATCTCAGTCTTTTCCTCTCTCTGTTACCCGTTACTTTTTTCTCCTTCTCTCCCCACTCTCTCATTCCCATTTTCTCTTCCTCATCATCTCATTATTTCCCATTCCTTTATTCGCTCTTTGTAAACTCTTATACATAATCTCCTATACTCATTCTCATTTTATATCTTTCCCTTTTATTCATTGTTTTTCTTTTTCTTTCTTTCTTCTCTCATTCTCAAATTCATTGTCTTTCACTCTCATTCTTTCTTTCTCTCCTACTCTCATTGTATCTCTTCTTTTTCTTATTCATCATCTCTTTTGTTTCTTTCTGTTTCTATCTTGTGTTCAATGTCTTTCCTTCTCACTCATTGTTTTTCACTATGT